GGAGTCCTCCCATCAAAATGGTTAGCTTTACCTGTTCAGGGATTCTTTCCTTTTTCTTATCTGCACCAGCATGATCCCTGACATGTATTAAACACTTAGTGATTAGTGCACCAAAGTTAGGAAATTAATAAATAAGCAAACTCATTATATCTGGAGATGATTCTAGAGTTGGGGGGGGGCACTGTTGATAAGCAGCAACTTGTGGGGTAGGACAAAAACATCAACACACTGGGGAAATGGCACTTAAAAATGCAAAGAAAAGTTTTGAATATAAGATGGGGAATACAAAATTGGCAAGACAGTTATATCCAGAAGTGCTTCTAAATGCCCATTTTCATGGGCTTCTCTCTACCAATAATTCATGTATCTGTTTCCTTAGCTCATGACTCCATTTAAAGCTTATCTTAAAATAAAGGCCTTATCTCAATATCTTGTCTCACTACTATTCAATCATTATATCCTTCTAGGTTTAATGCAAAGAGTTTCCTCTGTAACTTTTTTTGTTTTTGCACTTAATCATTTGTTGTCTTGCTATTTTTTCCTAGTTCTATAAATTTCATTTTTAAAAACCCAACTAGATTCAAAGTTTTTTTTGAGTCAAACCATAGTTTCAACCTATTTTATTTTCTTGCATTTCCTTATCAAGCTGCCTGCTTCACACAACATATTGCTTTATACTAGTGTGTGTGTGTGTGTGTGTGTGTGTGTGTGTGTGTGTGTGAATTCTATTCTCCAGCCTAGACTGAACTTCTCTTCCATGGAGGTACTTTATCATATATGAGGGTGAATAGTAGGCACAGAATAAGCATTTACTGTTGTGAAATAAAATATGCCAATAAATAACATTATACTGCCTTAAAAATAAAAGCAAAAAACCAGACACAGATATTTTAAAAAGTGTCCTGCACACTACTCATTAAGATACCTTCTTCTTTATGACTATAGTTACTGCTTTGTCTTATGAATTATGGTGTCTTCACATTTAATAAATACATTTAACAATTAAGTACTTCACACCAATATCCTTTGACTTAAAAAACTGCCAATGTATTTGTTCCTGGATTGAATAATCCAGGATAATATGCAGTTGGATTTTGAATTTATGTAATTTTAAACATCCCACTGTTGTATGATTTAGAACATTTTCTAATATCACAGAATGATGACATAAATATTTCTCTCTCTAATCACATATTTTTCCATCCTGACCAATTTTCTTTTCAATATAAAGGAATGATATAAATATAATATATATAAGTGATATAGATATAACATGAATATTTAAAATATGTCAGTGTCTTAGCTAATACAAAAATATTATTTGAATTTTTTGAAGATTTCCATTCTTTTGAGATGAAGTATTATTTTCTTAAAATTTCCCAATATTATGAAATATTATGAAATTCTTTCCAAATTAAAGGAAGAATGAATACAAGTTTAAGAACTTTTCCGTTACCACCTAAAGGTATGTAATGTGTGTTAAGTAGAAAATATTGTTTGAAAATATTTTAACGTTATTAAAAATAATTTAAAAATATTGCTTGTCTAATAATTTTCTCATTTTCAAATCGCTTACTTAAAATACTTGGGTCATACTTTTTTTTTCTCAGTATTTTCTTCTAAAATTATTTAGGTATAGTCCATTCAATGAGTAGCACTTTTTATTTGAAACTAGTGATTTGCTAACATGTTTGTATAATGGTTGTTTTCAGGTTGAAACTATAGCCCATAAGGCTATAATGTGACTTGTTTTTTTTTAAAAAAAGCAAGGGATTACAATTTCTTAAAAGCTGTTCTGCATAATGTAAACCATTGACATGTGGTCTCATTCATCATTCTCATGTGTGTTCTGTGGTTGTTACATGCTTGTTTCATAAATGCTTTCTTAGATGAGGAAACTGAGGCTCAGAGAGATAAAGCAGCTTACCACAAAAGTACAGGATTTGAATTAGATCTAGGTATCTCTAAATTTCCAATTTTCCATTACATCACACTAACTCTCTATTAGTGTAGAAACCACAGGAACTGTAACACTGTAAGTGAGAGGGCATAAAGGCCAGTTACAATTATTATCATTTCTCTTAGAGACCTAAAAGTTCATTTTTTTTGTTGTTTTGTTCAATGTGCTGTCTTTGCCTGGGAAACTGAGAACCATTAGTAATGTCAACTTATAGACAGGGATTGTTTATCGTAAATTTAGTATAATCTAATTGTAAATTGTCTAAGTGCATAAATTAAAAATTGTTAAGTTATGATAGCAACTTTATAGATGAGGAAATAAAGACACAAGAAGTGGAAAAGAAAATAAACAGGAATTAATAGACATTCGGATAAGATGACTTTGCCATTGTCCTTTACTTTAGGGTTTGCTACCAAGGAAATTGGTTATAATTTTGATTCTTTGTAAGAGTCACTTATACAACTACAACTGTATAACAAAATGGAGAATATTTTCATATAAATCTCATTCTTAAGTAACTGTTTTTACTTATGAAAATCATGTCTTCCAGCTTCCATATCAAATATATCACCTCATCTTGTTAAGTCTGCCTACTAGATAAATCTAGAATACTTCCCATCTTTTCTTTATCTTTACTGCTGTCTATCCAACTTCACCCCCCACTTCTCATTAGCAATATCCAAATGGTTGCAGTTTCTAGAAAACACCGGGAAGCTTTGTACCTCCATGTTGTATCACCATGTCCTCAGTCTGAAATATTCTTTCTTCAAATGCTGACTTGATATTACTCTTTTCATGACATACATTTTTCATGTGTGAATTACCCTGAAAAAACATCCCTTAACTCTCCAGATTTGATCACTTTTCCAGTGTGCTAAAATGAATTTTAAATGTGGCTTTATTATTATATTGCTTTTTGTATATTTGGCTGGTTTTATTACAAGTCACTATCTTCTGTTTCATCACTTCACTGTGTGGACAGGTATTCAAAAAATAGATTTAATGACTCAACATACTCACAGTTGTAATAAAATTAAACTAAAGCTGATGGACTACAGGGAAATATCTTGAAGACTGTGATTGGTATATAATATAAGAGGCAAATGCTCTTTAGTAATTTGGGAATTGAAATTTAATAATTTGTTGAACTAGAAACAACTAATGGCAAATAATAGGAAAGATAATGACTATTTCAAATATATATATATTTCTTTGTTTTCAGTGAATTTTGTCATATTCAATAAAAACATTTTTAGGCACTTCAAGGAGAAAACATAATCTACTACTTGAAAAGCAGTCATAAATTTAGTTATATTTATTTAGCCAATTTAATTAGATGGCCAAATTATAAAAAGCTGTAAAATTCTTATATCCTAAAATAATGACTGTGCTGTTTGTTTAAGTTATTACTGTGTAAATTTATTTTAGAAGACAAGACTAGGAAAACAAAACTGTTTTGTCAAAATTGATAATTTATTATATATTGTAAGATTGAATGAAAAGGTGGCATTTCTTATTAGAAGACTTTTAATGCAAATGTTTGAGAATGTTATTCTAAAACAATCACTGTTAATTAGATGAATTCATAAAGAAGAAAAAAATCTGGCTTTCAAATCAATATCACAATAAATAGGATATCTTTAGAGCTGATTTCAAAGCCTTTTAGGGAATGACACATTAATCAACTTGACAAATCTCATACACTATATTTTCAATTTTCCAGAATTATTTATTGATTCTTAGATGGTGACTGGGAAATGAATGTTAAAATAGCTCCACAGCAGTTAAAAATCCACCCCCTGCCTTCACCACCCCATGAATTCAAGGCTGTGCTTTAGTGGCTCATATATATGCCTGTAAAGTTATACTAGCCAATGTATGCTGCAGTAATTAATGTCCAATTAAAACTTGAGCTACTGCTACAGCAACTTTATGTCCTGGACTTTCCAAAAGTGTTTTCATTTCACCTTTTCTGTCCTTTGTCCCCATAAGTACAATAACCCTTCTCACACCATGAATCCTAATTTTGGATCAGAAAATATGATAACTGTCCCTTTGGAGGAAACTGATATTTTACCTCTATTAGAAAAATGACTTGTACCAAAAGTTTCTATTTGGTACTAGTAATGCAGTGCAGCTTTCTGTTTGCTATTTATGCATTAAAACTCTTTACTTACAGGATATCATCAGTGGGGAACGGAAGTGGTTTTAAATTATAAATTGCTTAAACTTTAAAGTGAAATGTTAAAGGGGTATGTGAAGATGATCACAGATTTGGTTCTGAAAATGAAATCAAATATAAATGAGATGTTACACACATTGAACACTTTTTGGGGAGATATTATCAGTCTTTCCAGGTTTCTTTCTAAGGTGTTTTCTACTTTCCTGACCTTAAAGCATCGCAGGTGGGTCCTGATCACATAAAACAATGCCTCACACCTTTGGCTCATTTTTGCCATTAAAGAAATAAAGGTAAGCAAATCCATCTTTTGAAAAATAAGACATTACATGCCATAATGTGGACTTCCAAACTACTAAAAGGGAAGAATTCATAATGTTGGTTAGTAGCTGTATTCCCCCCACATATTATTCTTAATTTGTTAAATAAATTATTCTGCTCTAGAATTCTATTCCATGTTGACTACCATGATTTACAACAGGAAAAACCAAAGTGAGCTTGAAATGCAACAACACATTTAACATTTAAATAGCATTTCTGTAGGGTTAACTTTAGAGCAATTTAACTTAAGACAATAAATACTATTTTTCAAGAGTATGAATGTCGTGCTAAAGAAACAAAACTTCTGGTCAAAGTTTTGGTCAAAGAAACAAAACCTGGCACACAACAGGTGTTGAAAAATATTTGCTGAATCAGTAAAAGATAGGATCATCTTAAGACACTTCTATTGGAGTTTACAGACATTTTCTATTTGAATACATAGCGACAATTTGATTTCCCTTTAGATGGATTTAGTGTCTTATAATTGGGAGCAGATTTGCTAGGAGATGAATATTCACTATTCTAGAATATTCTACTCACTTCTTTAGGGGCATCAGCTTCAATGAATTCAGAATAAATCATCTTGGCTTTAGAAGCCATCTTTTCTGCACTTTCTGTTTTTTTGAAGTCTTCACAGGCAAGCCAGAACTCAACATTTTCTTCACTAAACTCTGATTTTAGAAATGTTCGAAAAGCGTCTAGACCAGCTGTAAAATATAAAAGAGAAAAATTTAAGAAACATTCAGTGCAGTATACATAACCAATATGAATACGTTGTATGATATGAACATTTACTTAGTATTCAGTGGCAAATATTTATCATCCTTCTATATACTTATGTTTTTGTCTTTAAGTGTAGAAACCTTATTTTTGATCAGTAATCATAAACATAAAATAGTCTTGTCTCTATGTATCCAATTAGCTCCACTAACAAAGAAAACCTGTACTTTTCTTTCTAGATCTGAAATGTCTAGGAGTTGCGTTTAGGGGAAAGTCTTTTTTTTTTTTTTTAATGTTTATTTATTTTTGAGAGACAGAGAGAGAGAGAGAGGAGGGGAGGACAGAGAGAGAGGGAGACACAGAATCCAAAGCAGGCTCCAGGCTCCGAGCTGTCAGCACAGAACCCAGCATGGGGCTTGACTCACAAACCATGAGATCATAACCTGAACCAAAGTTGGACGCTCAACTGACAGAGCCACCCAGGCACCCATAGGGTAAAGTCTTGATAGCAGTTACTTTATGGGAAACTGCATAGGCTTTAGCTTTCTACACCCAATGCACTAAGCCCAAATCAAGCTAATGATGTTAAAAGCAATTCCAAGTAAGAATATCTTTGTTACCTTGAGTTGGTGAGGAAGCACAATTTGATGCTAAGGGATTAGATTGTGTGGGTTTGGGCTCAAAGCAAAGAAGGAAGGACTGGCATTTATTAATTTTGGATGAATATATTGGCCAATTCTAATCTCTAACCCAGGAAAATAATGGGCAAAATACTTGGAGTGAATGCTTTTCCTCTTGATTGGCGATAGGCAATTATAAGTCAATGAGGCAAATAAATGGGCTTTTCCCCAATGTTACCTTAAACAAAACACTGATGTCCCTCCAATCTCCCTCATGGCACCTACTATAACCTAGCCTGTTCATGGTGTTTTTCTCCTGCTCCCATGTATTCTCCTGAGCATGGATTTGTTCAGAAACTTTAGACCAGGGACTGCAAATAGGCCCACATACTTGCAGGCTGTTTACTTTGCCTCGATTAGTATATGCTATTTCCTTTGAATTTAATAACAACAGCTAGTGCTTGCGGCCTCTGATTCCCATATGTCTTATCTCTCCCCATTATTTTACTTTCAGTCAAATTTACACATGTGTTATTCCTTGCTCTCATAGATATTTGAGTTTATGACCACCTGTTTAGACTGTTCTTTTCTTTATTTTTTCATCAAAATGTGCCCTGAAATATTCTTCTTTGGCATATATAGAGCTCATTCAAGAAGGTAATTCTTGCTAAATTGTTTAGGGATGAGTATGGTTAGGAGTGTGCTTCTAGTTAGCAGGTAAGAAAAGTCATTATCAGATTCCTGCAGTTGATGGACTAAGCCAGTACCTTGAGTTCACATTATGCGGTTTCATAGATTGTACACTTCTGAGGTTGGTATTTGTTTATAAATGAGACTCTGGATCTCTCTGAGGAGGAAAATATACATCAGTGCTTTTGCCTCTGGGAGGGATCTTGCCTCTGGGAGGGTACATTGGTGGCTTTCTCTTCCATCTGCCACGAGGGTCCCCTAGCATGTCTTCAAAGCAGCTCTTCCCTGACTGTGTGCTTAGAGACCTGATCCTTCAAGTTCCAAAGCTGGGACTAATAAGCTTGTGGAGAATCAGAGGAAAGGGAAAATTAACTAGTGAAAAAGAAAATGTTAGAGATAGTTTATGAAAAAGAAGCCAAAGTCAGTTGTTTGTAGGTTGCTGCAGGTACGAAGCAAAATGGTTTAGTGAAAGAAAATGGGAAAGGCTTCAAGGGAGCAAGATTAAAATGTCTAAAAACACTGGATTAAAAATAGATATAACCATTTTTTTTATTATTCGAAATAGCGTTGAAATAACAAGTCATGGCAAAAGGTTATCAGGTACCAATTAAAATTCTCAGTAGAAATATTGGAGAGTGTGGATGTCGTTAATATGTGATCACTATAAAAAATTCAATTAACTGCACATTTATTGCATTTAAAAATACATCCAAGAAGCTTCTGTGACACAAATTTAGGTTATAAAAATCCTCTTAGTAACACTCAATTAAAATTTCCATGAGTTTTGTCCAAACAATGATGAATTTGAGGGGTCAAAACAGAATTGATGCTAAAATCTATTTTATATAGAGAATGAAGTATACTTTAAGGATATGGGAAGAACGTAGATTCCTGTCTGGCAATATTTTATATGTGTGTCGTTAAGGTATATGAGGCTTCCTCCCAGTGAGGATTATCTAAATGCATCTTAGAGAGATGGGAAGTTAGAGATCAAGAAACTTACTATTTTCTCACATCCTACCATTTTAACGAAGGACCACTCTGAGAGCAATTATCGGCTTCTCTCCCCCTGCCATCACTAGGTTAGGGCACAATGGAATAGAATAAACAGCTAAAACGAGTTAGCTATCCTTGTCTTGAACACACTATTTTACTGAACTCTGCTTCTATTCTATATATACAATATGAATGATCAAAAATTGTCATGTGACTTTGGAATAATATGCTACATATGATTAAAATGATATCATCTGAGAGCACTCTCTACAAATTGGAATGGCTACTGGTTAGACAAATGGAATAAACAATAGGTGTTGAAACCTATCTGAGAGCCTATGTGTGGTACCTGTAAGACATATCCCCAAGATGACAAAATAACTAGATAATTTGGTGAAATCATTTAGCTGTTTAAAGCATTAAGAAGCATTTTCTTTTTGTAAGCTGTTTTTGGTATTATAAAAAGCAAAAACCAACAGCTACTCAAATGAATCTGTGTGTCTTCTACTCTATGTGGGCACGAAATAAAAAAGATCAGGAGATATGTTGAGGAAAGCATTTGCCTTCAGCTCAACATCTTCTATGCCTCTGTTCTGCGGTGTTGGCCCCTGGATCTCCCCTTCTCTGGAGCCAGCCGGATCACCACCTGCAGAGATACTTTCTTAAGGCTTTTTGTAAACCTGATCTGTCCCACTGGTTATACACTTAAGTAGAAAAGAAACACGCCATTCAAAACTTATAAAAATGCAATTCCATATCTTTGATGTCTTTGGTATATGTTCTTAATTGGATTCTAGGAGCAACGTCGATTCTTTTATGTCTATGCTTTAGGAATTAGTTATTTAAGAATCATAAAATCAGAATAATTTTGTTTAATCCAATCCAATTTTATATATGAATAAGCAACTATGAAAAATTCACCCAACTTTATTATGTTTTAAACTTTTCTAGCGACGGCTGGGTGGCTCAGTCGGTTAAGCATCTGACTTTGGCTCAGGTCATGATCTCACAATTGGTGAGTTCGAGTCCACTGTCGGGACTCTGTGCTGACAGCTCAGAGCCTGGATCCTGCTTTGGATTCTGTCTCCCTCTGTTTCTGCCCTTCCCCCATTCATGGTCTGTCTCTCTATGTCTCTCAAAAACGAATAAACGTTAAAAAAAAACTTTTCTAATATTCTGATATTTACTTTACAAATTTAAAGTGGAAATTCCATTTGATTAGTACCAACAATACTGAATTTTAAATATTTTAAAATATATGTCTCTGTAGTGCCATTTCTTTTTCCTGTATGCAATAGAACTGCTGCAAAGCAAAATTATCTATAACAGAAACAGAAGTTCCAAATGATTACTTTGAATCAAATTCCAGGGTATTTTATTTATAATTGGCCCAAATTGCCTTATTGAGCCGTATTAAGTGTAAATATAAACATCCACACAGGTACATATTAATACATTTAAATATGTTTTTGTTTTCACTAGAAATTAGAATATCAGTTGAAATAAATACTTTAAAAAGTTTTTTTTTAGCTTCCAAGACATGAAGAAACAAGTCATTTATTTCAATTTTCAACTTTTCAATAGTTTGTGAATTTTTTTCAACTTGTAGCAAGAACAGTCATTATACATACATCAAATGATAATGAGTACAAAAAAATGACAAATTTCTCACTTCCTATTTGGGATTTTCTTTTTGTGTTAACGTTTTGAGTTTCTATAATCTTGTCTTATTTTAAGTCCAACCTAATTCCGTTTAGGTTTGAGACCTAAATTTGTGAGACTGTTGGAAATCTTATACTTCAAATATTGATCAAACTCATATTTTATGATGACTACAACGTTCAGAATTTAATGATTTACTTTTAATCGTTATATTTTTAAACTTAGTTGGATCTTACCTTGATTGTTTAAAAGTGTGTCCATATTTTCAGACCACGCCATTGTTTCTGTTGTTGGTGACCTGTAGAAACAACATCTACCCTTGACAATAGCATTGTGATCTTTTTCTTCTATAACCTACAGTAATATTTGAGATATGTGTATTTGTTGAGTTATGTAATTTAAAAGCACCATTAATCAAACTGCAAAAGGTAAGCAAAAATCATTTAATGTTTTTCATAGTGGACAGCAATAGCAACATAAAGTGGTATATAATTTGATATCAGCAAATTACTTATTAATGCCTAAATGTTATTAATGCTTAAATGTTACTAATATTTGTAAATTCTTATATTCTAATAAAGGTGCAAAGGAGATATTGCTCATGGTTCTATGAAGTATATTGAGTTTTTCTCAACTATAAATATATTAATTGTTAATTTACATGGCATTACTCTAGTCTATTTCTGAAAAGTTTTCATGATAGCAGTAGTGATGAGTGAACTATTTTCTGAGTTTTCACAATATATAAAATTATCCATGTCATAATTGTGTATATCAAAAAAGTAAAAGAAAATTTCAGTTAAGAATTTCTAACACGTGATGATCTTGAAAGTATTTATTTATAGTATTTTGAGAAGATTTTACCCCACTCTGAGACAGACCTTATTTCTCCTAAGACTGGTATGCTTCCCATTCTGGGATGATTTATTTAAATCTAGGTATCTGTCAGGACAGAGTAATATCTTTTCCAAGGAAGTCAAAAAATTTATAGACTTAAGTCTTCTGAAGAAGGTATACTTTTGGGGATATGATGTAGAAATAGTAAATCAGGTTTAAGATATAAATTTTCTGAGATGCAAATATATCATGCATTATTCCCCTTAATAAACTAAGATCCTGATGAGATAAGCTCCCAACCATAGAAAGCATCTGCTACCCAGAAAAAAAACTTAGATCATGTAGCTGTGATGTGCAAATGACCTACTTATGGAAATGCATGAGCTAATTTTTGAAAGTTTTTATTAAAACAATTGATAATAAAATAGAGTCTCATATCTAGTAATTCTTATAAATTTTACATTTGCATGTTAAGGTGACTAATCTTGAATACGCTTTGTGAAGTGATCTCTACGCTTTTATATCTATTACTTCCTATAATTTGCTGCCATTTTTATTATTTGTGTTGGGATTGAGTGTGCTTTCTTCTGTGGTTGCAGATGTGGTTCTATTTTCAGATAATAATGGCTGTCCTCATTAGAGGGTGCACAGAGAGGGCTTGGTGACTGGGAATTCATTTTACTATCTTCCATTACTTATATTTCCTGTCTGAGATTTCTTTGCTGGTGGTAGACAGATGATTTTTCTTTCTCCTTTGATTTATTAAATCTTAGGGACACACGATTTTCTGGGAAACCATTTTGAAATTGTGGGTTTTCATTTAAACGGACACTTAAAAAATTTAGTTGTTCAATTTCTATTTTTTATTAATGGAGAATGGGACTGAAACTTAGATTTAAATCTACATTGAAGAGCTTTTGTGCACTATAAAACCTGTACTCTAACAAGCTTATGTGATAATTCATGACTCAAATATTAGATCTTGTAAGAATTCTACCGAATAGTGCTAAAATCATCACATGGTCTCCTAATGTGCACATGTCTAAAAATATCTCTATTTCGGGGCGCCTGGGTGGCGCAGTCGGTTAAGCGTCCGACTTCAGCCAGGTCACGATCTCGCGGTCCGTGAGTTCGAGCCCCGCGTCAGGCTCTGGGCTGATGGCTCAGAGCCTGGAGCCTGTTTCCGGTTCTGTGTCTCCCTCTCTCTCTGCCTCTCCCCCGTTCATGCTCTGTCTCTCTCTGTCCCAAAAATAAATAAA